TAATATTGTTTATTATATATATATATATATATAACAAATATTATATATTTTGCATCAGAAGAGTTGTAGATTCTTTAAATAAGTTAGCTCTTTCGTTTATATATTCTTTCCTGGAAAGCACGCGCCAAAATATTTGGCGATTTCAATTCCGGTGAGAAGCATCTTTCCGCTCTGTTTTGAACGGTAAACTTCGAAAATAAAGGCAGACGATTTGCGCACATTAAATATTCCATAAAATTGTATCTCCTCGCTTTGAATTATGTTCATGACAACTTCGATTTTTACCTATGACGATCGCGACGATTCTGATTCATTGAAACGGAACTCGTGCGTGCGCAAGGATCTAGATCGGATCTAGAATCGGTTATGCGCGATCGATCGATAGATCGCGAGAGCAGCAGCGGGATGAAAAGTGAACCGACCTTGAGTAAATTTCCTATCGCGATCGCGTCATCAACGCGGATACTATTTCGCATTTCTGTCATTCCGGGTATGCGTCCAATGTAAATAATGTAGCTATAACGATTTAACATAATCCCGTTAACAAAATACTAAAAACAGAATTAATTAGTCAATTATGTAATATTGCCCACGGCTTTTTGTTTATCTTTTCGGTCACAATAAAATCAATACGTCATATCGTTTTTTTTTCCGTAAAAATTCTGATCTAATCATTTCTATCCTGAATTCCGATACAACGATCGGTGATTACGCACACAATCGCAGACCGTCAAACCGATCGCCCTTGCCCTAGAAGTATTCGTTCACGCGGCCGCTTGTCGAATAACGTTAGAGCAACGTGCGAATTTGTGATGAAATCACTTATTTCGCGATTCTGCGAAACGAGATCCGATAGCACCCTCTCCGATATCAAGGCTACTGACATGGCCGCTGATCGGCTCTATTGAACGAGATTATGTCGTCGTTGTTGCAAAATCAGATTCCGGCCTCGACTCTCGCGCATGATAATTATGAATATGTTATAAATATGAGAGTGATTGTATAGAGCGGTCAAGAAAGAAAGAAAGATAGAAGGATATACGCGAAAAAGGCCCTGAACGCTGCACCCGTTATTCGCCTTCGGAGACTCGCTCGTACACGAGCTCGTTGCATTCGCGACTATCCTTTGGCGCATGCAACTCGCGTGCGCGTGCTGCATGCGTATGCATCTATATATATGCGCAAGCCTACTATGCTAATTATTTTATTTAAACGCCTGTTGTTTCACCCGGGCTGCCGCATACGACCTGTCTCTCTCTCTCTTTCCCAGGATGAGAAAGATCACATTAACGCGAGATTTCGATATGTGTGCGCGACACATTATGAATGTCGTGTATTCGTACGATCGCGATTTTACAAGCTTCTTCAAATTGATACTCTAAGGCAAATTGTCCCATTTTGCGATATTCCATTTTCCATTCGCCTTTAGCTCTCTTGCATTATGCTTGGATTGCCGCATTATTACTTTTTGTATATTTTTGTGCAGAAATTTTAGAAATGTTGAATATTTTTACTAACGTTAAAACAGTATTGTAAATAATAAAAAAATTTTAAATCCCATTTTTAATATTGTTGAATAAATACGTAGAAACCAATCTCGATAGGAAATTTCTCTCGAATAATTGGGCAGTAGCGATCGTAATGAACTAAGTTATGCGAGCGCAATTTTAATGATCAATCTTGGTTATATTATCCACGAGACATTACATCGCATTAGTATCGTAACTGCTGACAGTCACTATGTTAGAAATGCGTTAGAAATATTTATTTGTATAATAAATCGAAATTTTTTTGGAAAACGATTACAAAGCTACCATGATACGGATACATATGTAACTAACTATGAAATAAACTTGATTTAATTTATCATCATCAGTTGCAATAATCGTTCAAGTTTTATATTCCCATTAAACGAAAAAATAAAGTATAATTTTTTTAATAATTTAATGAAAACGTATCATACTAAATGTTCATACTATAACATATAGGAATACTATACTAAACAATTGGGAATACTATACTACATATAGGAATACTATACTAAACAGTAATATACTAAAACAGTTAATTAGATATCGAAGAAATAAGAACACCATGGACGAGTATCTATAACAAAATTGGCACGATCGTGAGAAAAAGGGAGAGAGATCCTGTTCGTCTATGGATGCGATTCCTTCGCTGTGTAGGATAATTACTGGACTCTCAAGGTCGTTTCTTTTGCATCTTCGACCGTACGTTCATGCAATTGCACAAGGTCGAAGACAACATTCCTATGGTACCTGCCATTTGCTCGATTGGACATTTGCATCGTTTATTTGTTGAGTCGTGCCGGATTTTCATTCCTTATCGCGAACGACTAGTCGTCGTCCCGTATATCATCTGATCGACAAATATTTACATACTTTACATACGTTCGTCACGCGCGACAATCGTAATTCACATGGACGACTCTACAATGGGAATTAATTAATTCGCGTTTTCTATCGACTCGACGGTATGAGATTGGTTGACGCATTTGCCATTCCTTCGGTGTGTTATCATGTCGTATCGCAATTTTCTAGCATAGTCATCGTTCGTCTGTTCCATCGATGAAATACTTGGCCCACTTAACGATACGTGCGTTGTTAAGGGATTGCTAAACACTTTCTCTAAACTGTGCCAACCGATGACTTTGCTGGAAAACGCAACTAACTCCTCCACGCGGCGCTGTATATATATATATATATGTATATGCGGCAACAGTCGGGAATTTGAATGATTGGTGATGCATGTTTGTCAAATCAGAACGCTTATTTTATCTTTCAAGATTTCTTTGCTTGCGAATAAAATTCTAAATATCCTTTTCGAATAAAAAATTCACGTAACCGAAGGAACATAAATATTTCAGATAAAAATGTTTCATTAAATTGCAAAATAAGCTACTGGATGTATTAAGCAAGGATATATTAAGCAAGAATGATAAATAAAAAAATCAAATTTATCTTCTTTTAAGAAGTAAGCGCGAGTCAAGTTCCTTTCTGTTTCTAGCCGTCCTAATTAATTCATTTCCGATATTTCAACGACAGCAGGATGGAAGTCGCGAAAATTCATTTCCGTACCTTTGTTCGTTATCCGATTTAAGCGACACTTAGTCGAACTGACGGGCCAGATTTCCGTTTCGTTTCACGTCAAAGATAGCCATGAACAGACCACGGAAATCGGAACTTGGCTAGTCAAGGCAAAAGGACATCCGCCCTTTAAAGTTCTAAGTTATATCTATAATTCCTTGTACGTTTAATACATGAATGTAACAATGCAAAGCGGCACTCAGAATTTAATTATGCAGAAATTATGTGAATTGCTAATATTCTTATCAATTCAATTTATTACGATTTTATATACATATATAAATTTTATTTTTTATTTATATTTTCAGAACGGATATCCAGCACGACGACGTTCTCTTGTAGACGATGCCCGTTTTGAGACGCTGGTCGTCAAACAGACGAAGCAAAGCGTACTCGAGGAAGCTCGACAACGAGCGAATGGTGAGTCTTGTAAATATTATTATTAGCATGATTCTTTTCGACATAAATGGTAAATGATAAATATATTTGTTCGATGTATGTAAAAGAAAAGTAGACAATAAATATTTCTATGTTATATACCCGCAATTTATTACGTATAAAGGATCATAATGTTTATGTAAATAGAATAGCTTGAAGAAATATATACGTTATTAAAAAGGTTTTTAAAATAAAACATATTTTTTATCAGTGTGATACACACAAGCGCGCATAGAAAAGCATGTAGTATATGCATGTAGATGTTAATGTTGCATGACTTGTTTTTTGTTATCGTATAGACACGAATACGGATCAGACAATTACTTGTACTCAAGAACAACAGGGACAGGGAGAACATTACGTCGATGTTTCATCAAGTGACGACGAACAGATGGAGTCATTAGTTTACGCGGCGAAAAAAGAAGGTTTGTACATAGATGTTGTAAAACTTGTAACGATCTTTGGATAATTGGAGCATGCATTTTTTTCATGAAACATAATTGCGGTTATTGTTATATGTATATGAAATTTTATTATTTAACGTAACAATACTTCAAAAATTTCAATGTTTACTGTAACATCAAATTGATGTCAATCGATGTCTCTTAAATGCATCTGCCGCCAAGTATCCGAGAATGCGTAAATGTTGCATATGGCATGAGCACGAATCCATTATAACTTTCAGAAGCGAAAGCGGAGGCTTCATCGGACAGCGATGGGAAACCGGATGACGATGACGATGATGGTAAGTACGTTTTCTATTCCCCGATCATAATCGTGTTCAATCATCGCGTAGCGAAATATTATATTACGCGATATGAATGAAACACGAATGAAGTGAAGTGAAGGGAACGCATGCGAAGACGTGATGCGCACCTTCTGGAAGGATAAAAGGACGAGGGTAAATGGAGGGTGAAACGGTCGCCATTGTCGACGGTCGACCAGGGCGGGAGCTCGGTCGACACTTGGGGGTGAATTACGTCTGCGAGCTATTTCCGTCTTTTTCCAACCTGCCTTTGCCCTCCGAAGCCGCTTTGTGCATTTAGAATCGTATTACCGGAGGAGAGCCTTTCTCGAGATTTTACAAGCGACCCCGCGTGGCCGCGGTAAATGCGTAACACGGTTATTCCTTTTCGCATCGACTTCCATCTTGCCAGCACGTCCGCGCCCGCGACAATGACGACTACTTTGCCACTTTTCCGCCGCCTCCGCGGCCGAGTAGACGGTGCCGTTTTGTGACGGCAAGGCGCTAGGCGAAAATGGACTTTGAATTGCCCGATTATTACCGTCCGCGGAAGTCATTTGAGGCACTTGCGAGAAGTCACGTTCGAAAGCGTTCTTGAAAAAAAAGTTTCATGAGTTGGATTTGCGCGACGAAGGCTTTTTTCACTCCACCTATCGTCAAGACGATCATATTTTCTCAAATGCTGCGTAGAACGATGTCACTTAGTGATCTTCTTAAAATGATTTCACGGTATAATTATTTTTAATACGAGTTTATTCGTAAGAATTTTTAATCGTTAAGCGAAACTAAACGATGCGTTTGATTTTTCGCAGATGCCGGATTAACCGAAGAGGAAGTAGTGCTCGCGAAGACCATAGCCGAATCACCGGATAGCGAGCACAGCGTACAGAAGGCGGCGTTGGTACTGAGATTGCGAGAGGGCATCGGCTCTCTGGGCAGGATCCTGAAGACAATCGAAAATTTCAAGGGCACGATTACCCATGTCGAGTCACGGCCATCAAAGAAAGAAGGTCTGCAATTCGAAGTTCTGGTCAAGATTGACATGAGCAGGCAGAGCCTGTTGCAGCTGATTAGAAATCTGCGACAAAGCTCGGCCTTGGACGGTGTGACTCTGCTCGCCGACAATTCCGTCAGCATCAAAGACCCCTGGTTTCCCCGTCACGCCTCTGATCTCGACAACTGCAACCACCTGATGACCAAGTACGAACCGGATCTCGATATGAATCACCCGGGCTTCGCTGATAAAGAGTATCGTGCTCGTCGCAAGGTCATTGCCGAAATTGCTTTCGCTTACAAGTACGGCGATCCAATACCCTCCATTCCTTACACCGAAACGGAGAACGAGACTTGGTCACGCGTCTTTAATACCGTATTGGATCTGGTACCGAAACACGCGTGCGTGGAATACCAGAGAGTCTTCAAAAAATTGCAAGAGGAAAGGATCTTCGAGTCCCACCGTATACCGCAGTTGCAGGAAGTCAGCAATTTCTTGAAGAAGAGCACAGGATTTACTCTTCGACCGGCCGCCGGTCTTTTGACAGCGCGGGACTTCTTGTCCAGTCTTGCCTTCAGAATATTCCAGAGCACCCAATATGTCCGTCACATCAACAGCCCATATCACACTCCCGAACCGTAAGTGCTTTCAATTTTTAATTTTTGCCTACGTTATTTAATTCTCCCCAATTTATTCATATCGAAAAGCTTTTATCAGAAATTTATTTTCACAAACATTCTTTAACATTTATCCCGGAGAATGGATAACAATTAAATGTATTATAGTGACGTTTCTCTTAAAAAAAAAATGTTATGATTTGGAAGCAATGAAGCATACGGAGGGCACATTTTACAGAAAATAATGAAACTCGCTAAAATGTCGAACGCATAGATCTTTAGGTACATAAAAATCAGAAATTGCAAAGGTCTCCCTGGCATCGCGTCACGACTGTCCCTTCGTGTCAAACTGCAAGGCAATCGATATTGCGTTATGACGGGAGCCTGCACCCGGTAGTACACAGAGTACGATGATAATAAAATTAAACTGCGCCTCTCTAAGCTCGTAATGGAACTCTAATTGGCTTTTAACGACACGATGGCGTTGATAACTCAGTTCCACAGTTACGAACTCGTTTCTCCGCGTGGCGATTCACGTCACAGTATGATTTCCAAGAACTGCAGGCAGCTCTGCAGATTGTAAGAATAGAATTGGCTTCTTGAATTTTGCTCGCGCCACTTATCTGATAACAAATCTTAATTAATTTTAGCAGGTTCACTTTATTTAATACAATTAAAACGCTACTATGTGCATTAAGCGTTTAAATATTGCAAAAAATTACAACAATTCGATTGAACCTTATATCTAAAATTAATTAAATGATAAATTTAAGAATACAAATTTTAAGACAAGCACGCAACGTTATTTTTTAAATTTGTGTGGTTTTATTTGCAGAGATTGCATTCATGAGCTCTTGGGCCATATGCCGCTTCTGGCCGACCCTAGTTTCGCTCAATTTTCGCAAGAAATCGGATTGGCATCTCTCGGTGCCTCAGATGAGGAAATCGAAAAACTCTCAACTATCTATTGGTTCACCGTCGAATTCGGTCTTTGTAAGGAAGGTCCTGAAGTTAAGGCTTACGGTGCTGGCTTATTGTCGGCCTATGGTGAACTTCTGCACGCATTGAGCGATAAATGCGAACATCGAGCTTTTGATCCGTCAACTACCGCTCTCCAAAAATATCAAGATCAAGAATACCAGCCGATATATTACGTGGCCGAGAGTTTCGAGGATGCCAAAGAGAAATTCCGTCATTGGGTAAGTACGCTAAAAACACTAATTATTCCCATCCTGCGTATAAATAAATACTTTCAATTTCAATTCAATATTAATTTGTGAAATAAAATGTTTTATGTTTCTTGGAATTTCCTGCTTTTATTGACAAAATGGAATAATGGAATCGAAGCTTAATTTTTATCTGTTCAATATTTTTGATCTCTTAAATAATTTTTATTTTCATTTATTGCAAATAAAAGAAGTAGTAGTCGATTACTTCCGCTATCTTACGATTTCTTATTTTGGTACATGAGCTCAGTCACGTAAACCTTGGTTTCTCTTGCAGGTGTCTACTATGAGTCGGCCATTTGAGGTCAGGTTCAATCCGCATACGCAACGCGTCGAAGTCCTCGACAGTGTTGACAGATTGGAGGGTCTGATTTCCCAACTCAATACCGAGATGACCCACCTTACGAATGCCGTCAACAAAATGAAAGCGAGACAGTTCGCGTAAGAATGAGAACTTCCTCGCCTTCGCGTATTTGGTTATTCCTTTTGTAAGCCATCCAACCTCGAAGTCGCTCGTGCTCTTAACCAGTTAAATAATTCTTGAACTTTTCGGTGATAATAATTTAATTAATAATATAATCGTACTACGTACAAACTACGTGTTCTTCTTATAATTGAAGCAAAGCTTGACGAGTCTTTTAATGCTGTACGTAAAAAATGTGTTAGTTTGACTCGATAATTCAAAAAAAAGATATATTATTATTTATTATAAGATCTATTTGTTTTAAATAAGAAAAATATTTAATTTTGCATCGAGGCTTCAGCTTCCAGGTTCGGTGGAGCACATCATCTCATCGTTATCATTTTTATCGCGTGATTCGTTCCTCATTTCGTGTATAAAATCGTTCATTTATGTGTTGTACGCGTGTATGCGCACCAGTTATACATGCAACAAAGAGCAAATCTTTGATGTTAGCCCCTTATTGTGTATCTACCGTATTACGTTCCGTCAAAATAATCAACTTAATTGAACAATGAATCATTTTGCGGATTAAGTAATTCTGAGCCAATCTCTTGCTCTCGAATGTTTTTCACAAGACGCCAAACGAGCGGAAACACATATCACAAGGTTATCTCCGAATAAATAGAAAGCACTTGTTATTTTTTTTTTACCAGTGGCAGCGCGTACACGCGTATAAAAGAGATTCTTACATTATTATATTATTATTAATTATATTATTATTAATTATTACTATTATTTCGTTCTATTCTATTATATATTATCGTATTACTATGTTAGTAGATTATGTTATGCATGAAATTGTTTAATCCAGCAAACACTGGCATCTGCCCCGATGTTTCATAGTGCAGTCTGCATTTAGCAAAGAGTTGTAAAACGCGAGATAGTCGTCGCTGAGAGCTTATCGTAGTCTCGTAGAACATGTAGAACTCGCGGGATATTGATTCCTCATCGCGATAGAATTCGTTGTTCAAAGGGAACATACAGTATTCTTTTCTTTTGTGAATTAATTGTCACACCGCGGCTGTATAGAGTCGTTGGGCAGTTCTTCCCAGACTAGCTGATAAGAAGTGAGCGTTTAAATGTTCTTATCAGCTGGTCGCAATTAATTTAGAATTACTTGCATCGAATTAAACAGTATTTCGTAAAGGATATCTTTAAGTTGTGTTCTTATCTAGATAATCTGCAGGTCGCTTCCTGTTTGAACGAACTTGTTGGTGATTAAGGTTTAGTAGGCACAATAAAAGAAATAAGGAAAGAATTGAACATAAAGAATTAGAAATAGAGAATAAAATTTCGACATAAAAGAGACTATGTTTCGATACACAATCAAAGAGTAACGAGATGGTTTCTTCATTAGTCGAAAATAATTTTTTGTTTCTAAATCTTTCTAATGTTCTCTGTTTCTAATTCTTTATATTTAGTTCTTTAATCTTTATTTCTGCTTATTGTGCCTAGGTCCTTAGAGTTCCCAGATAGTTCCGGAAGTCATGAATCGACGTTGCTTTAGAGAGATACCTACTATTTAGCGAGTAGTGCGAGTCCCCGCTTGCGCACACTGTGCTACCCTGTATCGCATCGACCTGTATGAAATATTTTTCTCGTACGTGTACGTGCGTGTAACCCACCCTCGTTAGGTTGTAGTAAGAAAAAAACGGTCAATACATATGACATGTTTCCTTTGTATTATATTGTAAAGTACTCAGAGCATAATAAAAAACTAAGATATGAATCTTACATGTGTTATTGTCACTTTACGAGATACGTATATGTAATTACAAAGTGAAAATCCGGTATGAATGTGTGATATAACTATTGGCGTAATTATCTTATCACCATATTAGTCATATTACGATCGTCAAACATAATTAAGGCGTAAGCTAGACATAACTGGAAGTGCTTGAAACGAAGTGAAATTGCTTCTTACATCGTGACGGAATCGCTTCAAAATGTGCGAACACGTCACTCAAATTCTTTCCTTCTTTTCTTCCTTCTTTCCGGAATACTTTGATTAATGATTAAAATATAAAAAAATAATATATAGACATTTACCATAAAATCTATGGTTCTCATCGTTGCATTTGCTACGCAATGTGTATTCGCCAAATCACGGAATGAACATGGTAAGAGAAAGTGACGTCTTCTCCCGTCGTTTAAATGACTTCCTTCTTTACTCATCAAATTATTTCGACGAGAAATTCTGTGTGCTTGAGTGGATCATCTACCTGAAGCGCCTTTCGTTAATCACATTAATGTTGTATATCGTCGTTTTATATTACGTGCCCAAGTCACGTTCATGTAAGTAGTAAAAAGAAAAAAATGTCAAGTGAAAGGAGAAACGAAGAGAAAGAGAGAGAGAGAAAGAGAGAGAACTTTTATCACTGTTTGTAATTTTTGATTGACTTTCAGACATAATTGAGATTTTATTTAATATCTCGTCATAAATATTTTCTAACTTTGAATTTATTATTAAAATATCTCAAACTATTATTATTTAATAAAAAAAGGTGTAAAAGTTAATTTAAGTAATTATAATATATTTTTTATTTTAAATCAAAAAAGATAAAGTTTTTAGAGCTCTTAGTATTTTTTTCGCTAAATTTCCTTTATTAAAACACAAAGAAAAAGAAATAAAATTGCGCTAAATTTATATAGCGCAATTTATTATGCTTTTGTAAAACTTATATTTTTATTACCTTTATAATATATTTTTATAATATATAAATAAATCATGTTTATATTATTTTCTTTCAGATGCTTTAAAAGCATGTTTCATTTTGATGAATATTGTTGTAAATGGATTAAAATTATTTTTAGATTTAATCGAAATTGGATTAGGAAAGATAAAAGTAAAAGAACAAAATAATCAAAATGAAGAGCTAAGAATATTAGAATTGTATCGAAAAGGATGTGAAAAAGATATAAGGGATGGACAAAAATGCATTAATAAAACTAATTTTGACGATAATAATCATAAATTGATGAGGTCAGTTATATTTTTGTATAGATACTTTATCCTTTTCATTTACAGATTATGTCAGTTGGTAAATTAAAAGCATAATCTACATAAAAAATATGACTTTAGTATGCAAATGTGAACGCACTTCAAAGAGATTAATGTTTCACTAAATAATATATGAGGATTTCATAGGAAACATAAGAAGAAGGAATTTCGTACCAGCAACACTGAAAAACATAAACGTCATCGACACAGTCATACAATCGTTATCATCGAAATGGAGTCAACAATGTATTGCAGAATATAGTAATGGTATCAACTATGTATGTTATGTCACACTGATTATATGATATAAGTATATCAAATTATATCATTACCAAATTTTCAACAGAATTGAATAAACCGCATATTTTCAATAAAGATAACACATGCCGCCAAATCGTTTGTTTAATCTTTTGCATTCATGTATTAAGTTCTAAAATGTCATTAAGTTAATATATGAAGAATGCAAATAGTTCAACTCATATTTGATAGTAGGCATTTCTTCTTTATTGAAAATATCTGTATGTTTATATAAGAATTTGATAGTATACGTATAATTACATACACACACAAAATAAGGATAAAAATATATTAATATTTGTAGCAATGGCTCACAATCTACGGCCAATGATGGGAAATGCCAATGGGAGAACAATGTAGTAATGGTACAGAATATAGAATGGTACATCTCCGGAAATAAAAACCACATGTAGACAATCTCGACAGATAAATTAAAAAATAATACTGATTTGTGGCAAGAAAATTTTTCATAACAATCAAACAGATTTTAGTACAGTTTTAGAAATTATTAACAAAAGTGACAGCGAGTATAAACTAATGTATGAAAATAATAATTATCAAGAACACATTTATAATAACAATAATATATCTAGCGATAACGGAAGTTTTCGATAAATTAAGAAAAATTAATTATATTTATCCTTCAGACAAGTAAATTATATCAAATAAGAAACAAAAATTCTATAATAAAAATCCACTTTTTAAAAATCTGTTATATTTCAGAAAATTCCAGATAAAAACATTTCAAGAGCAAGAGAACATAAATGATAGTGGTATTGATAAAAAAATTGCAAGATGAACACAATCTTGACTTTATGGTATGTAAGCACATGTAATTATTATAATATTAAATTGTTTAAATCATTGTTTACATAGAATTTTTATGTTATTAAATATGTTAAATATGTTAAATATGTTAAATATGTTAAATATGTTAAATATTGCAATTAAAACGATAGGTTTTTATAGTAAAAAACTTACATAAAAATAACAAGATTTAATTATTATATGCAGATTGACCGTTATAATATTTTTTCCAAATTACATAACATTTTACATTTTGTAATCCAACATATTAACAGATTATCGTATTTTTTAGGAACATGAACAAGTTGCTTTTCAATCATCTCAATTAAGAAAATCAACAAGGACTGTGAATAAACAAATAAATTCTCACAATGGTAACACATTATTCCGTATATTGCTTAATAGAAATAGATATTAACAAATTATTATTTATAGAAAAACTGTTTATAATTTAAGAATTACGCGATGAACTTCCAAAAGAAAATTGTCGATTTCTTCATGAAATGAAGAGTTTTCCTCAGGATTGTTATGAAGTTCACCTATTATAAAGAGTAATAGTAAAATCAAATAAAAAAATCATATAATCTATCAAATTATCAAAAACTTTATGTATAATACTTTTAAACAAATTTGATTGTTTCTTCTTTATTCTTTTTAAAGATTAGTCATTATAAATAATCATATTCTACATTTTTTTAAATTATAAAGGTTATTATATCTATCATATGTAATTTTCTATGTAGATATAATTTTTCATGACAACTTTCTCATAAATGATTTAATTACAATGTTAAGATGCAAGAATATATTAAAAATGTATTTTAAAATATTTATTAAAACAAATCAATTATAATAATTATTATTGCATGTAAATGCAAATTAGTTTTCAGAAAATTTTGAATATAATTAACTGAATCATTTTTCAGATCGAGTTAAACCAGTTCTATTGCAAATTGTAAATTGGATCTTTGGTGATTGCTCAGAGGTATCGAGACGACGACATCGAGATCAGATTGACGAGGTCGGAAAGGAAGAAATTTTCGAGCTCACCAACACGTGGCTCCTCTAAATGAACAAATTGTATCTGCTGCAGCAAAGTGCAAAATCTCGTCGATAAACGCTGTGTCTTTATCTTTACAGCAACATGAAGATAAACCAGATATTTAAAATCACAATTAAAATTATTAATGATCGCCAAAATGATATTTTAATATCAAAATTACAATTTTGATTTTTGTCAGGATATTTTTTTATATTATTGGTAAAGAATATTGATTTGTATAGTGATTTGTGCGATTTCTTTTTTCTTTTCTTTTTTTCTATTCCCAACGACATAAAAAATAAGTATAATCTGTATAAAGTTATATTGTAATAATCCGTGCTGTGCATATCTATTTATACATACATTTATTATTGAATAGAAAATTTTGCGTTTGAAGTATTACTTTTAGCAACTTAAAATAATCTAAAAAAATGAATCTTTGTATCCTGCGCACAAGATTTTTATTTATCATTTACAAATTCTTACGAGAAGACAATTAATATATTTTTAAAAAGCTTTATACAATTGCTGAATCAGCAATCACCAATTAATTCAGCAATTACATAGCATTTATTAAGACACGCGGACCTTTGTATAATCATCACTAATCACAATTTATATTGGCGAAGTTTCCGCGTTTCTAGGAAACATTGGTTACATCTCGGCTTCCCATCTCGGCGCATACGTCCGCTCCAATTTTATCCGGACGCAAAGACGGCACGTTCGAAAGACTCGGAGGGACATGAGCCGTTTCAAATCTCGACCTTCGTCTGCGCACACATCTGTACCGGAAGCGGGTACCGCGTGTACACGGCTTAAGAGAAATAAGGGAACTGGCGGGCCTCGCGAGCCACCAGAAGAGAATGGGGCGAGACAGTCGCGCTGAGACCAAGTGCCACGGCGGTTCGGAAAGCCGCCAATTCGAACGAAGCTACTGCCTGTTCACGTGACAGACGCGCGATCATCGAGCGATCCATCTTTCTTCGTTTTCTTATGAATTGATGCAGTTCGGTAGATAAGTTTGCTATGTTCGATCACCGATGGCAAATCCGCGACGCTCGCGTTCGATCCTTTGATCTTAGGCCGCAAAATTAATCGTCAGCGAAACTTTCTGTATTCGACACTCGAATTAAAATTGTGCATTCTTCTTACACGACGAACTCGATCACGATATGAATCGATAAAGCGTGTAGAGCAGAACAGTAAAACAGTATAGCAACAGAGTGTATTTTAGCTGACCGGTAAGTTCCAAGAGATAGTTTAATTATACATATTTATATCAATAATAAGTAATATATAATTACTTGTAAGCTATTGACTATAAGATAATTATTTTTGACTTACATAAAAAAATTATCATACATAGCAATTGTGAATACTTTTACGTCAAATTTGTTAAGGAAGTTTTTTCAAACGTAAAGAACAATTATATATAAATTATAGATATATATTTTATAGATTTAAAGTTAAATATGTATAGTAATTTTTTTCACGCTCTGAGATAATGCTGCAAAATTATGAAATGTTGAAATAGATGAAAAAAAAGGTGAAAAGTGTTCCACAGTTACGCAACGAAAGAGAGAAAGTATTTCTCAGCGAAAATACCTATTTATTCACATTAAATATTGTCCACTTACATTAGATGTATTCATTTGCATATTTTTATGTCTGTATTATGTTATAACGGCGCTTATTTATATCTACGCTACAGGATCACGACTACTTTGTTATGCGGTGAAATGTCCCAAGACCCGTTAACATGCATTCATTTAGGAAAGTGTGTCGTTAAGTACATCGGTGCATACTTTAGAGATTAAAAGGAAAGCGCTTGTATCAAGTTTGCCCGTGCACATTCCAAGATTTACTAATTGTCTAAATTATATTATATACCGTCATAATACGGTTAAACCACAGTTATTATGGACTTTAATGGGTTCGATTAAAAGCAATGTCGAATATATGCCATCGACGAGCATGACATTACACGGAAATTTCGTAACAAACCGCACTATCGTCCTCATCGCGCCCGGTATTCGTAACCTCGGTACATTGTTAGACAGTGGAAGAAATTCCCGAGATTCCACGGAACATGTGTGTGCAAACCGTTCTATTAATGTACCCGTCACATCTTGCCTTCTCTTCTTATCCACTCTTCTCGCTCCGTCTTTTTCTCCCTTTCTGCGTTTCTAGACAGGCGCTCCCTTCCTCTTCCGAAGTGTAGCGCGACTTATTCAAACACGCGCCCAAAGAGAAACAAGCAGCGGATGTAGCCACGAAGTGCTTTAAAAATTTTTGCTTTTTTTTTTTATTGCACTCTAGAGGAAATGAAACACCCGGTAAATGAATTCTAGTTCGATAATCCAGAAAACATGGTACTAATTTCACGATGAAGTTTCTAACAACAAACGAAGAACATGCGAATTTTATTCTTCCTCTCAAATATAATTAATTTTTTTAACGCAAGCGCTTATAAATTTTTTAATTTTATTAATAATAATAGAGAGATTGTAATTTTAATAACTATTTGTATATTGCAAAATAAAAGTATTATGATTAAAAATAATTAACTTATTAAAAATAAGTAATAATAGTTATAACAATTGTAGTTTATAAATTTTTGTGTTTTATAAAAGTGTAATATTTTTATTTTGCAAAATGTATAAAGATACTTAAAATTAGAAATATTTAAAATTAAAAATTATAAGGGCATTTAATTTTGAAAACATTCTTGACTGAAAATAATTCGGCATGCTTTCGGTATCTTTGATAGATATTTATTAGACGTTTTTATATGATAATTTCTTCTGTATTTATTTTTCTGTCAGTGACAAATGCTCATAGTATGACGTCAAATGCAATTAGAGGCATCAGAAGGAAGAAGAGTTCACTGTGCGAAGTTAAGGTGGCTGTGATAGGAGCTCCAGGAGTCGGCAAAAGCGGTAAGTGAATGTATTTTGATAGGACGAAATTTCTAATAAAATTTATAATCAAATTTAACTTTTTTATATTAATTAAAAATATTAATTTTAATGAAATTGTAAAGTAAAAATGTTACAATTAATTTTTATTATAAGAAATATAAAATATATATTAATTTTCATTGACATAATTTATATCACATTGAGATATGAGAGTGCAGGCATTGCGTAATTTTACAAGAACAGACTCCTGTTTTTTGCGAAATAAGCAAATTAATAATAAAATAATAAATTGAACTTTAAACTTTTATATAAAAATGATGTGCATACTTTTTTATTATTTTTTTTAATTATTTTTATATTATTTTTTATTATTTTAATTTCACAATATAATTATAATAAAATTTTCGAGTATTTTTTTTATTTGTTAATAGATGAAATAGTTACACTAAAAAGTACTTTAATACTAAGTTTTTAAAAGTGTTTTTGCGCAACTACTTCTATTTTAACTCTCATTAATAGCGAAAGACAGGAAGTATTCAACGGTCGCATTAACTATAGATTCTCATCTCAAGCGTTTGCGAATCTGGCATAAATCGAAAGACCTTGGGGCGTGTAATTAAGAACAAAATCTATTTCACACACTACTCGTATTGCGCACAAAATCGAGCTATTATTTTACGAACAATCGATTAAACGAAATCGAGAAAGAAATAATTGCGCGTTAATTGTCTTCGCTCTAAATTCAAGTGCAAGTAGCACGAATCATATTCCACACATACGAGATACGCGTTGAGGAACCTGAGAACAGTTAATATATTTTCAATAATGGCACGTGTAAAGGCATAGATGAATAAATAATTGGTCGGTCTTCGTCAGAGCCATACGTCTTTTCTGTTGACCGCAAAATACGTGATCGCTATTTATAAAATTTTACTTCAAAATCTGCCCTGGATCGTAATCAAGTCATAATTCGTCATGATTTCCATAACATTTCTTTACGATCGAAACTTTATATCAAGAAAATATTTCGAATGAAGCAACATAAATGTCAAACAATGACATGTAAAAAACAGTTTTTCTAATAGAGTTTTGCACAACGTAGAAGGCAATACAGATGCGATAAAGAAGGCAATAATGTATTGTATTTCATTTTAATACACATTATTTAAGCAAAACATTTTGAAAGATATTTTAATTTTATAAATATTTAAAGAATTTTTTTAAAAAACTTTTGTTCTCTTTTATATATATATATATTGTTCTCGTTATATTGTTCTTTTTTCTCTTGTAACGGTATTTATGTAATTATTCCTTTATCTGTTTTTAATAGAAATTGCTATTTTAATATTTAAAATTTAATTTTTGTAGCAAGATTTTTTCAAAAATTTCATATATCTAAAAATTTAAAACAAAACTCTTTTACTGACATTGAGATTAAATCAAGGAGACACGATCATGAGCCACAAATTTCCAACGCAAATAAACCGATCGCTAATAAATTTACTGATCTTTGAAACATACACGCATTCCTGTCGATCAAAAGATTGACTTATATTTTAGAAGACAATACATATATTTATTTATATCAGATAGAAATATATTCCACACAGATTGTAATGTTTTTGCATTCATAGAATTATAATATGTTCGTTTTATAAATTTGTATAAATCTTAGTAAAAAATTCATTATGCTAAATTTAGTTTGATTTAAAAATTACTTTTCTTTTATTTACTTTTTCTTCCTTAGATTAATATAAATTTTTCTATTTGTATTGATTTATTAATTTTTATCAAAATATTAATTTTACAATAAATTCGGATTAATTGGTGATATTATTTGATTCGATATAAACTGAGAGTTCGAAAAGAAATTCATACATTTAAAAACAAATGGATAAGACGTGGTGGCGTTAAGGCATCACTCGCGCAAGGTTTTGTGGCGCCGTAGGTTTGAGTTTGTGGTAAAAATAGTGTGGTATACCTCGAAGCGTGTCACTAGGTTGTAGCTCTCGTTTCTCCCGATCAAATCGCAATATGTTCAGACGCGGTATCATATCGAGAGAAGATCGAGAGAAGATCACGTGTCAGCGCGAGATCAACCTCTTTTCATCACTTTCACGCAAAACATTGAGACTAATGGAACGGACATTGCTTCAATAGCGTATCGAAGATTGCATATCACAGAAACAATGAACGTTTCTATTTGTCAGATCTAACGCATGTTTTCTTACAATTTTCAATTTCTTAAAAGCTATAACGTTCAGTACATTGAGAAAATATTTCATTCATAAAATTTCTTTTTGCTTAAATTTCTATATAAAATAGAATTTCATCGGTCAATTTATATGTACTAAAATAGCATATAGTTATATTAATATAAACAAATAATATAAATATATGTAATATATATATAAACAAAATTTCACGATTTCATTTATAATTCTGCTATGCAATTGGCAGTAATTATATATAACCTAATTACGCAAACTCAACTATTGATTTTCTTAGCTTCCTGAATTTCTTTAGCAAAATACGATTAAATATTAAATATTGTTTGTAGTGTAATAATTACGCTGAGAGGTAGTATATTCGTGTTGATTTGCTCTTGTATAAATAGACACGACTGTAACAAACGGACGAAATATAGATCAACACGATGCATACGAATCCGAGACGCGACGTTGCACGAGTGGCCTGTCATTACAGTTTGCCAACTCAATTATAACATGTACAATATAATTATGTGACGCTTCAACTATATGCGAAACGGTATATATTTCCATTATGTTTCAGCATTGACAGTGAGATTTCTGACGAGGAGATACATCGGGGAATACGATCATCAATCAGGTGAAAAGAGTCTTAGGCCCGTATTTATAGTTAAATTCAAAACTCATCTCAAAAGCGTATCAGGTGACATTTGTTTGACAAGTGCCAGGAGACATTTGGAGGTATCTCGTATCGCGGACAAAGATCGGTTCGAAGATCAAATTTAAATTAAAGATTAATTGAGAATTCGGCCGAGGGGCGAAACAATCGTCTACGTAAAATCTAATATCATTCAAATGACATTATTATACGATATCTTGCGAGACATTTTCTCTTTCTGATGTTCTTTTATCCTATCGTTCTATCTTCTATTCTCCAACTTCCGCGACTTCATGCTTCACGTACGGTAAATGAGATGGAAACGCATATTTAATGTATGTACATCTACAGCTATCGACAGCTACTAATACTGCCATATCATTCCAATGAATATTGCACTATGTTAATATAACTGTCGATTTATTGATCTTAATTAGCACGCAAATATTTCTGCGATTTCATTAACGAATCAACTAACTCAGTAAAAAATTTTCCATGTATAGTTATATATAGAATATGTTCATTTACAAATTACATACGATTAATTATGTATAATTGTCAAATCATATGTAATTCAATTACATATGATTAATTATGTATAATTAATATATATATATATATATATTTATATTTATATTTATATTTATATATAATTATACATGTATCATCACTTCTATATATTTTTATATATGGATATATTTTATGTATAATGCCTCACATACAATTATATTTAATTATATATAAATATAAAATGTTTTACAAAGAATTTAAGGATTCAATTTAGCCACGTTACATCGCCACACACGTCAAAATCTCTCATTAGAACTACTCGTACAAATAAAAAGTTATAATTTAATTATAAGCCAAAATTATGTATAAACGAAAATTTTGGGGAATTCCACGCTCTTTTGAGGAATCACGGTCTCTACTTTATAAATTACGTTCATACAATCGTAATCATTTCACATAACACATTTATCGAAATACTATACATTAATAAGCGGGATATATTGCTTCCTTGAGCGCGCGTTATTCGATATAATGCGCATATTATATACGTACGCGCTACTTGATTTCTAATTATTCGCAAGAATTAATCCCGTTTGTTTGCTCTTAATGCCTGCCGCGCTTGCCATTTCGAGAACTAATAACACGCGGAACAGCTCGCAGCACTACTTGCTTGTTCGGGCGTTATCCGTGCGAATGATAGCACAACAACGTCCGCCAACGTTCGATCTTGTGTATGTACACAAGGAGCGCGTTATCTACACGGCAAAATACAAGATGTACCAAGCGCTGTTTAGTTTTTTTTTGACACTACGAAATATTTAAAGTACATATTACACTTTAAGTATGCGCCGAACATGCGTATAGTTCCCTATACACGTTTAGACCGTTTTCCTTTATCGCGTTTCATCAATTCCTAAAAAGCTACGACAAATACATTGGCATCTTCCTTCCAGCATCATAGAATATTTCGCAGATCAATTTAATGACTAATTAAATTAAAATCCTGAAATTTAAACGAGTACATTCAAAATTTAGTATTGCACGTGCAATACCATTTACATGTACAAATGTAAAATATATGTACTATTAATAAATGATTGACTTGTATCAACTTTTATTGTGTAAGCGACGAATATTCGAATGCAAAAATTGTTAAAAAAAAAATTATTACAAGTTTCAATGAAAGAATTCTTTATATACTTTTATCTGTAGAACTTCAGATTTTATTTCATAGAAACGTGCGGTAAAATACTTTTGATAAATAGCCATTGCCTCGATACGTGTTCCAAACGTTAATCGCGAAAATCAATTGATCGAATTGATGAAAGCTTGTTATTTGTAAGAAATGATTCCGATCACATTTCGGGAAGGAATAACGAGACGCCACACGGAATGATTCGCGGCATTACTTATTTGTCCGAATATTATTGTGCAAATGATAAAACTTTTAGATTCGTTCTATTTAACTGAACTTCTTACATCATTCATCTTTCTTCCTTTTCTTTCAAAGTAAAGAAAAAAAAAAAAGGAAAAAGGAACGATGTTAGTTAACTAAAAGGAACAACCTTATGATTCGATGTTCGCGCTTTTTGTATAATGGATAACGGCATCCATTATACAAAACGCAGTAAAACACGATTCGTTGTTGTTACAAAATATTTAAAATATTGTCGAAAGACAATATACGCATGTGCTATTTTTGTAGAATCTGTAGATTAATTTGATAACCAGACTGTTATCGCATTTCGTTTTGCGTTTTTGTTCCGCGAACTCGTTAGCGTCGAATACAACGAATACAACATGATTTCACAAATTAAATTGATTTTCGATATTTATTTGTTAAGTCGTACCGCATCTTAAAAATTACTTCAGCCGAGTTTCTCGGTAGAAATGTGATTGTAAACGTAAATTCGACTGCATCGTACTTCTCGTTGATTCTTGTTAACTCGTTTAACTTACAAAACTGGCAAAGTGCGCATGGCAAAGTGTATAATAGAATAGTGTCAGTTTGAAAAATTGCCAGCAACTGTAATCCACTTCTAAAGCTACGTACATTCTCCCTCTGCATACCTCTGTCCGCGTCCGTTCTAAATTTATCGGAGACGAATTTGACACTAGACAGGACGGGTACTAATGCGAGGTTGATACTCGAACAAAACTTTTCGTTTTGCGAAAATACAGACGCGGTCGTAGACAGGAGAAAGCACGTGCCGAGTTAGCATCTCAAAAGTAAATCCGATTTGAGGCACCGCTTAATGACGCATAAATTTAGTTTCTAAATATTCACGCGGCAGAAAATTATACAGATAATTATGTCATATTTTTTTTAAATCTGCGAGCAAGAATGTGTGTGTGTTTTTTTTTATTTAATATAGAATAAGGAAATCATGTGTTTGCCATGATAAAATGAATGCAATTATTCTAATATTTTTATTTAAATTATTATGAAGCAATTTTGTCAGTAATTCGTATCTTGTCGAAGAATATTTCTTATAATATTTTATAAACAAAAGAAAGAAAATTATTATTTGTTAAAAGAATTGACGAATAAACCATAAAATAAAAACGAGCAATGTAAAAATCCATTAAATAAAAAATTAGCAATTACAAAAGCGACATTGATTGTAAATCAAGTTTTTCAAAAAAAGAAAGAAAAGGGAATGTATTTAAATTTTTTTAAAAAGTAAAAAATATGTTATTATAAAATATAAAATTTTACTTTTAAACAAAATTGTATATTTGTTTAGGAATAATGTACATGTATTAAGTTTTATTTTCTTCTCAAAAACCAGACACAAACATGAAGTACTAGTCGATGATGATTGACGAATAAATCATGAAATAAAAACGAACAATGTAAAAATCCATTAAATAAAAAATTAGCAATTACAAAAGCGACAATGATTATAAATCAAGTCCTTCAAAAAAGAAACAGAACAGAATGTATTTAAAATTTTTAAAAAAATATATTATTATAAAATATCATAAAATTTTACTTTTAAGCAAAATTGTATATTTGATTTAGGAATAATGGTTATTATACATGTATTAAGTTTTATTTTTTTCCCAGAAACCAGATACAAACATGAAGTATTAGTCGATGGGGAACCAATTCTTTTTGAAATTTTAGATACATGTCCAAAAGTAATTATTGTATATAATAAAATCTTTTTCTCGCATATTATATTATAATGTATAGGTAACTTTTTATATATAATGTTTAAATAACATTTTTAGACTGAGAATGAGCTGCCATCAATAGAAACTTTACAATGGGCAGACGGCTTGCTATTGGTTTATTCGATAACAGACAGGAACTCATTCAATTTTGTCAGAAAAGCAAAAGAAGCTCTGGCAGTAGCAGATCCTGAAGCTGCGATGCCTCTTGCCCTTGTGGGAAATAAAGCTGATATGGTCCATTTACGACAAGTCAGCGCAGAAGAGGGAGAGATATTAGCAAAGGATTTCGAATGTTGGTTTAGTGAAATAACAGCAGCTGAACAGGTAATTGCGATATTTGATAATTTGTTGCTTCTGGTTTTAGAAGTTTTATCTAAACAGCCAAATAACTTTTATAGGTTGCTCAAGTTGCAGAATCTTTCCACGAATTATGCAGAGAAGTTCTTGCAGCCAGAAGAAGAAACAAACAATCTTTGCTGGACAGAATGCTCGGTAGTAAAGCGACACGTGCTTACTCACGAGGAAAAAGCGATTCTGCTTTACCAAAAGATTAAATTATTGTTCGAAGTATATATGTGTATTACAAATATAAAGAAAAGGAAATATCCCAAATGAATAATGAAAAATCGATATTGTATTCGGGGAAATGCAAGAAAAGAAAATAGGACAATTCGGGAATATAATCGTTTACTATATAATAAATGAAAAAAATGAACGATAAATGCCAAAGAAAATATCATAGTTTTTAATTTCTAGGTGTAAAGATTCATATCAAATAAAATATAGGGTATGTATAAATTTTTAATAATACACCTACAAAAATTCTTAAAACTGACTCTATGACTCCTGATGCACTAGAAAAGTTCAGTTCAAGAAAAAAATGTAATATAGAAAAATGAACTGCGTTTCTGATAGTTATGTAATATTCTCAAAAAATATATTAGTAATATATAGTAATATATATAGTAACATTTTATAATTTTTTACTGTATCACCAGATTAAACGAGTCAATCATTTAAATCTAAAAAAAGGCCGAATGTGCAACGTACATATAATTTATATAAGTATCGCAACTTACAATTCTATATTTATTTTGTATTTACAATGTGAAATGTAAATGTTTTACTTATTTATTATATGTTTGAAATAAATTATATAGCCACGTTGTTAAAAGATTATTAGTGTAAACATACATTGTACTCTGTAAACATACATTTGACATTTATATTATCGTTTCCTAATAATAATTCACAAAGGAAATGAGCAAAGAAAATGAAAATGTCCAAGAACATTTATGAGCTTACAATAATTTTTACTTAAAATAATAATTTACAAAATAAATGGAATATAATTTTATTTACATGATATTATCTCATATCTATGTAAAAGTTTATTGTATCTGACAGAACAATGAAACTTTTACTTAATCATCGTATGTTTCCAAAACATCTGCTAAATGTTCATTATCTCTTGGTTTCTTAAACTGTTTTCTTCTATTAACAGGTTTCTTTCGTTTGATTGGCGCTGGCTTTTTAAGTCCATGATCCTGCATCGATCTAATTCCTTGTTTTTCAAGATATTCATCTATTTTTTGATCATCCATAGCATCCACTGCAACAGCTCTCCATAATTTTTGGAATTCCTCATCAATGGGGAATTGTGCTGTCTTGTCATTATAAAAGACAATTTTTTTCTTATCGAGTGGTCGTGTAATATACAATATTTCGTTTTGTAAATTCTGAAATATATAATATTAGTGTTTTTCCAATTGCAGAAGTAAATTTCGATATAAGATTTATTATATTTACCTTTAAATGTTTATCACAATGTGGTAAACTTTCTTGTATATCTTCCAATAATATACCACCGAGACCTTTCAAATCATGTTGTTTTAAAAGTCTCAGTAAGGATTTCTTGTCTTTAATTTTATACATAGGTTTAAAGACAAATCTGCCATCGGTTGCTTCAATCTTAGGATTTTGTACTAAAGCTTCAGTCTGTAGCCATTGCTTGACCTAAATATATAAAAAAAAATATATAGAGCTTGCTTCCATTAGAAGATATAAATATAAAATAAGAATGCAAGAGAAAACAGTCAATACCTTCGATCCAACATCTAATTGATTTGTTTCATCCAGAATCTCTTCTAATGTTAACGGATGATCATCTCCATCTTGATGTCTTGTCTTCATGTGTTTTACTATCTTTGCTAATACACCAAATTTATATTGCGTACTACCTGTCATGGTTTTATAATTAACCATATCCAATTTCGGGCCTGTAGATACCAACGATGGTTTAGGTTTCTTCTTTGGTGGTTCGTTCTTCTTTGACGATTCATCTTTCACAGTTTCCTTATCCTGTTTCTTTTTATCAATTCTGTAATTGTATTAAAAAATATATTTACATTTTCGTGTAAATCTTCGTGTAAATAAGTCAAATATATATAATATAGATTACAAATATGATATAATATTTGACATGTGAATATTTGACATACACAGTACTGGTATACACAGTGGTAGTATTAGGTTATGTAAAGTTTATCTATATAATTGATAAAACAAAATTATCCATATGAGATTAAGCTTTTACTTAAAAATAAATTATTACTGTTCATTTTTAAATTTTTTCTTCGAATACAATATAATATCGATAAAACAATAAGGATAGAAAAAAGGATAAACATGAATACTCACACTGGTGTGGCCAGAGCACGTTTCTTGAAGAGCTCTCGCTCTCTGAGTAAAGCCGGATCCATATTAGATCTTAATCGTATTTATGCCACGATTATTTATTTATAATTTAACGTATTATTAGCATATGCTACTATCTCATGTCAAAACCTAACCTCTCGCTGAACACAGTACCGCTGCCTCTGGATCTTAGCTCTGAAGAAACGCCACTGCGCAAGTACAGTCGCACTTGAAGCTGCGCGCTATGGTTCAGATAACTTGTGTATAAATTCATTTCCGTAAATATACGAAAGATCTTTATTGTGGAAACAAATCTGGAAACAAATCAGAATATTGTTGCTTATCAGACAATATTTATTGCTTTATATAAAAATAAATATAAATATACGCAAGAAATCAAGTGCTTAACACGTACAATATTACGTATTTTTGCATTTTTTGGTCTTTCAATTTTCATCTCTAATTTATTTTAATTGTAATGTATTTTAACTAAAAAATTATTATAATATCATGTCATATGAATGATCGTATGTTTTACTTTTTTATCAACGATCAATCATTTTTTACAAGACAGATCATTTTAGACAACGAAAACACGTGGGTTATGTTATGTGGGTTATGTTTTTTTTAAATAGAAGAAGCAGAAATCCTACCTGACTAATAATGGACTTATCACAACTATTTTGAAATCAATTTAATTCTTCTTGAAATGTGACATTTTTTATTTTTCAAAAGATGAAGTTTTTTTAATTTTAAATAATTTTTTTATATGTATGATTGAATTTGGCGTAAGTTTCTTTTAATTTTTACTTTCAGAAGAAATTTAAATTTCACAAAAATAATAATGAGAGATGTGGTATTTTAAAGAATATTAAAATATTAAATATTAAATTTTTAAAAAATCTGAATATACATTTATCTAAATACACATTAAAGTACATAGAAAATCATAAAAGTTTTGCATTTTACATCTCATCGTTTATAGCTTTCGTTTACAATTATCTTGTATATCTCATCGTTTCAGCTAACGCTCATATTTGATCTCAAAGAAAACAATTATCAATGTTAAAGAGACTGTTTCATCCCTTAAATTTCAAATTGGGTCAAAAATAAAAAAGTACTATGTCTCTTAATCTTTTTTATGCTTAACAATATTACAAGAAGAATCAAATCGGTAGTTGCGACAGGTCTCTTGAATAATGCTTAAACTTCTCGTTTGAACATCTCAGTTTACACGTACCTATTTATCTATTTTAATTTACTTTAATACATTAATTTACATTAATTTCGATTTTCTGTCAGAAACATCAAACTGTCACTGATCTCGTAAAGCACGCGCGGATTTCACGTGGCGTTTCTGCGGCGTTCACGTAGAAAATTTCAAGTCAGTTCCTCCGCAATCATCCAGCCAATGATCCAGAGCGGCATTTCGACGTTTTACGATCGTTCGCGCCGCATGCGGAACACGCTTTACGCGTCTCGTGTGCTCGTAGTTCTCGGACGTGGTCCTGCGTTTTCAGCGTGACGCGGCGACGTTTTGCGAGCGACGCAGCACGTGGCAGCGCGTTCCATTCCGCACTTGGATCGTTATGACTACTTATCGTCGAAGGGCGCAGAAACCTTCGACACGGACGCGATTCCGCGAGATTTACTACAGCCACCTGCGAGCGCAAATTACCACCCTCTCCCCTTCCCGCTACCGCGAGTAAATCAAGTCGTGACAAACATTGTATCGTAGAGATATATGGACTTCTTTAATCTTATAATGCGGCACGCTTTTTTATTATCCCGCCTCCTAAGCTCGTAGCGTTTGCAACAATATTTGCACAACATTATTCAACGTTGATTAAGCCACTATTTTTGTAACAAAACAAGAGGGAAAATAAGGGATTTTACAATTTAAAAATATGCAAAAACGACATCGGTCTATATCATCAAACTGAAATAGGTATTTTTTTTTTTTAATAATTGTTTTTTAATAATTTTAGTAAATTTGATGTTCGATAGAGAAGTTTAAATCTTGGAGTTCCTAGGGCAAATTATTGATTTAAGAATCTTTGTTAGCAAGTGGATTAATCACGTCATTTATATTAAATACTTCCGCGATCGGTCTCCGCTATTCGCAAATATGTAATCGCGGTGGTAAAATGATAAGCGTGATAGCGTCAGGACAAACATTAATGCTTTTTGTCAAAAGTTCTGACGTACTTTAACAACGACTTGAACCTTTTGACACGTTAGCGTGGTCTCGTCGCACTTTGAACTTTTTCAGGAAGGATTTCCATAATTCGCCAGCGCGGACGTATAAAGTTGACCGTCCGACCGCTTAAAACCTCGACGAAGAAAGTTATCCGAGCAACGAGCGAAGACGCGTCGCGCATATATTAGACGAGACTGTTTGCGACTCTGCATGCTTTTCGCTAAGTTATACCTTATTCTTATGAATTTCTTGGCAAAGAGAATGTTACGCGTACATGTAATATCGGATACTCTCTTTCCATCAGGACTGAGGCGACATTGAGCTCTTCTTTTGTTACATTGCAGATCATATAAAAGCTGTAAAACTTTAAAAAGTGCATATCTTACGTTTCGCGTAATGCACAATTGGGTTTACGCGTTTTAGCGGAACGTATCAAAATTTTAAAGTATATATACAAAAGTTGTTTGTTATCGTGAATATACGTGTGCTTGTTAAAAAACGCAATTTCTCAATGTAATTCATTTAAAAAAATCACGAAAATGGGCAAAATGGAATCACGATTTTGAAATTATTTTTATGATAGGATTTATAAGCTACTTTTCTTAAATTCCATATCGCAAAAGCCGAAAACGTATTACAGCAGCATGCAAACGTTTAAAACTCCTCTTATATAAAACCCAGCTTTGTCGAGAAACAATTTCAGATTAAGAATATTTATATTATTCTAAGTCTAACAAAATATGTGAAGGATACTTTTTGTAAATAAATATATGATGAATTAGTATTTTATACCGATTAATGCTATGACTTTCAATCTTTTTAAAGATTATAAATTGTTTCTCTATATATGTATTAAAATTAATAAAGCCATATTTGACTTTTAGATGACGTTAACATGAAATAAAAAACAAAATGTCTGATAATAGCACATACATATATTGAAATTAATTTAATCAATAAGTGCTGGAAATCTGACGTGTACAAGTCAATTTGACTCACATTTTAATTCATTTGTATCTTGTGTAGAAACAAAACTTTCCATTCTTATTTATAAATAATTATAAAATGAGATGTCATAATGAACATAAAATAATAATTTTTGAGCATTAAAAATTGAAAGTCCATTAAATTAAATCATAAAATAGAGTTTTATTGTGTTACCTCATTATTTTATATTGTCTTTCGCACTTCTATTACGAAATGTCTGATTAATTGCTTAGAAGTTATTAAATAATCTTGCAAAAAAATATAAATAAAATAATGTAAATGTTTTAAGAAATTATATATGTACGTACATATGTAACATGTAAAAATAATATAAATAATATAAAAGTAATAATGTATTCATTAAGTTTTCTTTGGAAACATATATTAATATATAAAATTTATTAAACTAGAACAGTACAAAACGCGCGCTTTGCGCGCGCCATTTATTTTTTAACATTATATATTTTTATAAAATATGTACATCACATATTATATAATTTTGCTACTTCTAAAATCTTAACATAATTACTAATATTAACGTTATTCCGAATTTCCATTTTCAAAATTTAATATTTATTCCTGTTCCTGATATTTTCTCCGTGTGTAAAGTCCAACGGAAAGATGTATACCTTATTTATAATTTTGTTATAAACATTGAAACCTTTGTGTTTGAAATAGCGATACAATAGCGCGCGGCCTTGGTACTTTGTTTACAATCGACGGGTATTGTATTTGCGTGCGCAACGAGTTATCATTCAACCATCGACCACGCTCGTGGGCATGTGGTGTTACGTATCGCTCCGCATTTTCATATTTTCTTTTCGAATCAAAGTCGCGATGAATTCTAAATGATGTCGGAACATCTTACGATGCATGTTATGATAAAATTGATAGCTCGCGCATTATTAAGTTTGTCGGATTTATACGTACATATCAAAAGACAATTTGTTTTATTCCGGACGGCGGGAACTGACTCGTATTCACTGATCAACGCTTATCTTTTGAAGCATAGTATTAATAATTTATTTTTGTAAATTTAATAATAATTTATTTTTGTAAACGATATTGTAACGACGGGTATTGCACTTAACATGATGGAAGGGTTGCGTATTCTGAAGGGCTTTCTTTAATGATCTAATTCGAGTATCTTCGAGTATATAAATTCTAACAGTATCTGTTGCACCGTTATTAGTAACATTAATGTTAACATTAGGTAATATTATTGTTATTAATAATGTATTAACAGAGTATAGCCACGAGTCGTTCAATGGCTCTTATGTGGCAAGTTAATCGGTCGGTTTTTTTAATCGACCGTCATTTTTCCGCTGCCGATTTTTAAGTGAATGAATGAACTGTAATCAAGTTCGTCGCGCGCACGTCTGCTTCGGGAGTGCCGTACGAGTGACCGGACTAAAAAAGATTTTTATTTAAAATTAGTTATCGCGCGCGATTATAATAATTCGCGAGTGTTTTACATGAGTATCCTGTGCTGCGAGGACATCCGACGACCCGACATCTTGAAAGAAGGAGAAGCCTAGGAGAGGCATCGAGCACCAGCGGAGCAACCTTGCGGTAAATATACATTTTCTTTCTCAACATAAAATTAATCAATTTTACATTTATTTGAATTAATAAATTTCGATAATTTAAAATTTATAGTTTTTTTCGGAAAAGAAAAACAGTTTAAAATATTATTTCTATAAAGATTTTTACTGAAAATTATTTTATTATTTTGAATATTTAATGAGTGAATATTTAATTGAAAAACAAATATGTAGATTCAATATACGTAAAAGCTATTTTGTAAAATATTTATTATTTAGAGCGCTGTTATAATTTGAATGTTCTGTTTCTGTATTACAGAATCATCGTAGCTACGTGGCAGATTCACTCCGCTGTTGCGCATCGGATCGGTAAGTAACACAATTTTTTTAATGGGGTTACAAATCTGTGAAACTTGGCTTAGATTATTTTTATATATTTATATTTATAAAAAAGTATTGCAGTTGAATCTTCACAGATTTGTTGCCCTAAAA